ACCTCAGGAGTTTGATATGATTAGAACTGTGATTTTGGCACGGGAGACACCAATTTCTTTGAAAGATTTTCGTGCACAGCTTCTTAGTGCTGAACTGACCATTGACTCCAGAGTTTCAGTTCTTACTGGTTCAATGGCAGCAATGTATATGGATGGGGGTAATGGAAAAGGCCATTCTGGTTCCTATCAAGCAAATGGTACTTATCATGGTGAAAGCTCTGCTATGGGGGCTAGTGGTTATCAATGGGGTGAAAGTTCTACCATTGGGGCTACTGACTATCAAGGAGGTTATGGGTTTACTGGCAGTAACTCAGAGGATTTTTCCTTCTCAGAATAGAGGGTCATTCAATAATACCAGGAACTCTTATGGAAATAATGCTTCAAAACCTTATTTTGGCAACAAGAATAAGGGGTCAAATAGCTCGTTTTCTGATTCAGGCAGAAATTCTCAGTCCAGTTTTAATGGTCAGTCATCTAATGGTGGATCAAAGGGTAGTTCAAATTGGCAGAATTGGAATGGGAATACTACTTATAGATCATCAATCACTCCTGAATGTCAAATATGCTCACGGAGAGGTCACACTGCACCTAATTGTCATTTCAGAAGTACTGCTCCTGCCAATCAGTATCCAATCTTGGTGTGTCAGATTTGTGGAAAGAAAGGTCATACTGCATTAGAGTGTTTTCACAGGAACAATTATGCCTATCAAGGGGCTCCACCACCTCCATTACTCACTGCATTATCTGCACAAGGTCCATCTAGTTTCTCTCCACCAACAACTGAGTCTCATCCACATGGGTTTTCTGCTGCTGATACATGGGTGCTCGATACTGGAGCTACTCATCATATGACTGCAAATCTTAATAATTTGTCCCAAGCTACTGCATACAATGGAGATGAGAAGATAATCATTGGAAATGGTCAAGGTTTGGATGTGCAGCATATTGGTTCTACTAACCTTTTTACTCCGGACCATTGTTTATTCCTCAAAAATGTTTTACATGTCCCATATATTACTGTGAATCTTTTATCAGTAAAGCAATTATGTCATGATAATGACTGCTGGTTTATATGTGATGATACTGTGTTTTTCATACAGGACAAGGCAACCAATGTGGTACTCTACCAAGGAAGGAGTGATGGGGAACTCTTTACAATACCTGTGACAGTGTTTTCAAGATCTGGTTCTGTGAATAAAAGATCACAAGGTGTAAAGGCTGGTTTTGTGGGAAAGATGATCAAGACTGCGATTTGGCATAAGAGGCTAGGACACCCTTCTGAAGAAATATTGACTGCAATGCTCAAAGCAGCCAAAGTACCAGTTAGTATAGATTCTTCTCAGATGTTATGTACTTCCTGCATTTCCAGTAAAATGTGTAGACAGTCTTTTCCTGTAAAACAAAGTAGTGTTACCTTTATGTTTGAAAGAGTACATTCGGATGTATGGGGGCCTTCTCCAAAAGTATCAATTGAAGGATATAGATATTACATCAGTTTTATTGATGAGTTTTCCAGATTTTTGTGGATATTTCCTTTGGTTAATAAATCTGAAGCTGTTTCTGCATTTATCAAGTTCCATGCTTTTGTATCCAATCAATTCAACACTGCCATTAAATGTTTGCAAACTGATGGAGGAGGAGAGTATATGAGTAAAGTGTTTGGTGATTTTCTGGAATCAAAAGGGATTGTTCATCGAATATCATGTCCATACACTCCTCAACAGAATGGCATTTCTGAGAGGAAACATAGACATTTGGTAGAAACAGCATTGACTTTAATGTCTGAAGCAAACTTGGCTCTATCTTTCTGGTATCATGCTTGTTCATATGCTTTTTTTTAATCAATAGAATGCCAAGCAAAGTGTTACAAATGAAGTCTCCATATCAACTGTTGTTTGATAAGGTTCCTGATATTCACAACTTAAAAGTTTTTGGAACTGCAGTATATCCATTTCTTCGACCTTATAATGCTAATAAGTTGCAAGCAAGGTCTGCTCAATGTGTTTTCCTTGGTTATGCTTTGGGATATAAGGGTGTTGTATGCTATAATGTGGAAACAAGGAAGATGATTTTATCAAGGCATGTAATTCATGATGAATCAGTTTTTCCATATAAGATCTTGCACAGTACTAAGGTCAGTGACAATTCAAAGCCTTCGGGTATAACTCAGAGGCCTATTGTTGTTTAGATTCCTATGGCTTCTGTTCTAGAGGATCCGACTCCTCCTAGGACAAATATTGGTGAGGCTGTCCAGGATATGTCTCTCTCTTTATCCAATCATGGTGCTCATTCTGCTGAAAGATCAGGTTCCTTGAATGAAGTATCAGGTTCAGAATCCTTATCACTGTCACAGGGTATCTCATCACTTCCAGATTCCTCTCTCATCACTCCTAGCTCTATTGGTGTACCACAAATGTTGCCTGTCCACAATGATACACAGCTTGAGGTAATTTTACCTTTTTCATCTCCTATTTCGTCTCCTCTTGGTGAATCCAATAATACTTCTGTTCATCCAATGGTCACTAGGTTGAAGAGTGGTACAATACCACAGAGGAATTATAAGGGCTATTTAGCTACATTTCCTGAACTTCAGTCACTTCAATTAGCTGAAGACACTTCCTTTGGTGGTGGTTTTTCCTTTTTGGCTGTTAATAGTGATGATGCTGAACCATCAACTTTCAGAAAGGCTGCTACCATGCCACAGTGGCAGAGTGCTATGCAAGACGAGTATGATTCTCTTCGGGCTCAAGGCACTTGGGAATTGGTCCCACCTCCTAGTGATAGGACTATTATTGGCAGCAAATGGGTCTACAAAATCAAAAAGAATCCAGATGGCACAGTTTCACGGTACAAAGCCCGGTTGGTGGCACAAGGTTTTTCTCAAGAGCAAGGTGTTGATTATTCTGAAACCTTTAGTCCAGTTGTGAGACATACCACAGTTAGAATTGTCCTAGCATTAACTGCTATTAACCATTGGGATTTACGACAGCTTGATATCAAAAATGCATTCCTGCATGGTGAATTGCAGGAAGATATATACATGAAACAACCACAGGGGTTTGTGGATGTCACTAAGCCAACACATGTCTGCAAACTGATTAAATCTCTCTATGGGCTTAAACAGGCTCCAAGAGCTTGGAACTCTAAGTTTACAAGCTATCTACCTGCCATGGGATTTAAAGCTTCAACATCAGATTCCAGTTTATTTGTCAAACAGTGTGAAACTGACATGGTCATTCTACTTCTCTATGTAGATGACATTATTATTACTGGTTCCAATTCCAGTAAAGTTCAGAGGATAATTACAGAACTGTCTGAGGTTTTTGAGCTCAAAGATATGGGTCGATTGACATATTTTCTTGGGTTGCAGATCACTTACAAATCCAATGGAGATATTGGGGTTCATCAGTCTAAGTATGTCAAAGATCTTCTTCACAAGGCTGGTATGGACTCCTGTAAACCTGCATCAACACCATGCAAACCTCATACTTCTTTGCTTCTAAATGAAGGAGATCCTTTATCAGATCCTACTTTATATCGCAGTATTGTTGGTTCCCTGCAATATCTAACCTTTACACGGCCAGATATTGCATATGCAGTAAACACTGTGTGTCAATTCATGGCTAAACCAACTGAGGTCCATTTTGGGGCAGTTAAACGGATATTACGGTTTTTGAAAGGCACTATGCATCATGGAATTACTTTCTCAGCTCATACAGAAGTAGGAATTCATGCATTCAGTGACGCAGATTGGGCTGCGGATTTAAATACTAGGAGATCTGTTACTGGTTATGTAGTCTATATTGGTTGCAATCCAGTTTCTTGGCAATCGAAGAAACAGGATTCTGTGTCCCGAAGTTCTACCGAAGCTGAATATAAGGCCTTGGCTCATACAGCTACTGATATAGCATGGATCAGAAGTGTGCTCAAAGATATGGCTGTCATTTTACATTCTTCTCCTGTGATCTATTGTGACAACAAATCAGCTATTGCTATAAGTGCAAATCCAGTATTTCATTCCAGGATTAAGCACTTAGACACCGATTACCACTTTGTACGGGAGAAAGTCCAACAGGGAGATCTCCAAGTTCACTACTTGTCCACTGAAGAACAAACTGCTGATATTCTGACAAAGGGGCTGCACAGTCCATTATTTCTCAAGCATTCTTTCAATCTCAAACTTGGAAACCCAGTTGAGATTGAGGGGGGATGTTGAATGATATACCACATAAGCAATCCACATCAGCAGTCCACATCAGCAAGGTTGTTATTCTGTCAGTTAGATAGTTAGTTGGGATTGTAGGAAGATATAAGGTGGTTATGGGGTTTGTTAGAAACTGAAAAAGATAGAAATAAGCATGTATAAATAGAAAGGTTCTCTCTAAGAATTGTATTCGACTACATTCAGAAATATACAAATCTCTTGTTCTCTCTTTCTTTCTCTGCTGCTATACTTAAAGATTGTTCTGTTCTTCTTCTTAGATTCATAGTGTAGTGTTAATACTTTAACGGTCTTGGTCCTTGGCGTACCGAAATGTCAAACAATAAGTCCCAGTAGTGGAAGTAAGGTAATGATGTCGTCCAAAGAAAAAAGGCAAAGTTGTTACTTGTTATCATTTACTTGGACTTAATCCTTCTCACATTTGAATTTTCAAGAACCAGAAATTGTGGTTTAAGTTCCTCCTATGATCCTATCCTTCTATAAGTTTCCTTGTCGTTTAGTGGCAGTATTCTTCCTATGATCCTAGGGTAACTTTCATATTAGGTGACACCAACGTGACGTCTGATGTGAGAAAATATTGGGTTCCATGTATTTGTTTTTCCATTTTGGATGATTGCCAAAATGAATTATGGATGATAATGCTATTATTTATGGTTGCCAAATGTTTCCAGTCAGCTTCTAAAGTCAAGGTGCTTTAATGGTCTTGGTCTTGGTCCCAGTTGTTACTTGTTATCATTTACTTGGATTTATTCCTTCTCGTATTTGAATTTTCAAGAAACAGAAACTGTGGTGTAAGTTCCTCCTATGATCCTATCCTTCTATAAATTTCATTGTCGTGTAACAAATGGAACTCACCAAATTCGCAACTCAACACCCATCTCTCTATTTCTTTCTGCTTCTTTCTCTAGTTATATAGTTAACCAGATCAGAAATGGGGGTCTTGGTTGTGAAATTGATCTTAATATACTTGCTTTTCAGTGCAGTGTTCGTTTGCTGTTGGAGCTCCCTGCAATCGGGACTCGGAGGGAATGCGACGGATAGGCTGGCGCTGCTTGCCATCAAAGCTCAAATAAAGCAAGATCTCCATAATTACAACGTGATGAGCTCCTGGAACGAATCCACGCACTTTTGCATGTGGCATGGTGTGACGTGCAGTCGACGACATCGCCAAAGGGTCACTAACCTGGACCTGCAATCTCAAAATCTGGTAGGGAACCTATCCCCAAACATTGGAAATCTAAGTTTTTTAAGGGAGCTGTGGCTGCGAAATAACAGCTTCAGTCATGAAATTCCTCCACAAATTGGGAATTTGCGTAGATTGCATGTATTGCGATTAGATGTTAACTCGTTTAGTGGTAGTATTCCACACAATATATCACATTGCTTCAACCTTATCCTTGTGAATTTCACTCGCAACAAGTTGGTGGGTAAAATTCCTTCAGAATTTGGATTGCTATCGAAGCTGCAACATTTTTCATCAAATGTTAATAATGTAACGGGACAGGTCCCTCTTTCCTTGGGCAACCTTTCGTCTCTCCAGAGACTAAGTCTTGTTAGTAATAACTTGATGGGAAACATCCCCAGTTCTCTTGGCCAATTGAAAAAATTAACCTTCTTGGCATTGGGGTTAAATCAGTTGTCTGGTAGCATCCCTTCCTCCATTTATAACCTTTCTTCTCTTGTTACATTTTTCATAGGAGGTAACCAAATTCAAGGGAGTATTCCATCAGATATTGGCAAAAGTCTTCCTAATCTCGGAGTCTTCGACGTCGGCTCAAACCAATTTACCGGGTCCATTCCTCCCTCAATATCCAATATCACAAGTGTTTGGTCATTTGAAGTTGGGCCAAACAACCTAATCGGACAGGTACCGAATCTCCAAAAGCTTCACAACCTCCTGTATTTCAACATTCAATTTAATAATATTGGAAGCGGTAAAGATGGTGACTTAAGTTTTCTCTCGGACTTGGCCAATGCCACCAAGTTAGAATGGTTGGTTATTAGCGACAACAATTTTGGAGGGACATTGCCCATGTCAATATCCAATCTCTCAACCAAACTTGAAATGTTTTGGGTTGGCAGTAACCAAATATATGGAAGCATCCCATCTGGGATAGGGAATCTGGTGAGCTTGCAATCGTTGCCCTTCGGGATTAATAGCTTCACAGGTAACATTCCCTCTGACATCGGCAAGCTTTCAAACCTTGAAGCATTACAAATTTCCATGAACAAATTATCTGGAAATATTCCGTCTTCCGTAAGAAATTTAACCAAGTTATACTATCTTGCGCTGGATGGAAATCATCTTGAGGGCAGCATTCCTTCAGGTCTGGGGGAATGCCATGGGTTGCAATTGTTGAATCTTTCTTATAACCTCCTAAATGGCACAATACCAAAACAAGTTTTTAGACTCTCCTCCTTATCGATTTCTTTGGACTTGTCTAATAACCTCTTCACAGGTTCCCTTCCCCCGGAGGTTGGGAATTTCCAGAGTCTAAGTGAACTTTATCTTTCTGATAACATGTTATCTGGAGAACTCCCCAGTAGCCTTGGTGGTTGTGAGAGTTTAGAAGTCCTGCATTTGCAAGGAAACTTTTTCAACGGGTCCATTCCTTTGTCTATGAGTTCAGTGAGAGCAATTCGAGATCTAGACCTTTCTCGCAATAATTTTTCAGGGGAAATTCCACATTTTTTAGAAGGTTTTAGATTCTTGAATAATCTGAACTTATCATTCAATCAATTTTGGGGAGTGGTACCAACTGGAGGTGTTTTCAAAAATGCGAGTGCTATTTCAGTTGTTGGCAATACTAATCTGTGCAGCCCTGTTGATAATTTAAAGCTTCCCAAGTGCAAGTCTAAAGAGACCAAGAAACGAAGATTGTCTCGTAGCTTGAAACTAATACTCCCTTTAGTATTTGGACTTACTCTTCTAGGAATAGCCATGGTGTTCTTCTATTTCTTTCTTTGTTCGTCAAGGAAGAAAAAGAAAGAAATTTCATTGAGCACTTTGGGGAACACTATTTTGCAAGTGTCATATGCTACTCTACTCAAAGCTACTGACGGGTTCTCAAAGGCTAATTTAATTGGTGCTGGTAGTTTTGGGTATGTGTACAAAGGAGTTCTTGATGAGGATGATAAATCTCAACTTGTTGCCGTGAAGGTGTTTAACTTGTTACGCCATGGAGCTTCGAGGAGTTTCATAGCCGAATGTGAAGCTTTGAGAAATATTAGGCACCGAAATCTTGTCAAGATTATAACCGTGTGTTCAAGTGTTGATTTTCATGGTAATGATTTCAAGGCTCTAGTTTATGAGTTCATGAACAACGGGAGCTTAGAAGAGTGGCTGCGTCCACCTACTGGAACTGAAGAGTTAAGAGATCATATACCCAAGAAGTTAAGTCTTCTTCATAGGCTAGAAATTGCCATTGGTGTTGCTTGTGCACTGGATTATCTTCATAATCATTGTGAAACGCCAATAGTTCATTGTGATCTCAAGCCAAGCAACGTTCTCTTGGACAACGAATTGACTGGCCATGTTTCTGACTTTGGATTAGCAAGGTTTCTCTCACAAGTAACGAGTAATGTTTCAGCAATTCAGAGTCAGACAAGTTCCGTTGGAATAAAAGGAACGGTTGGTTATGCAGCTCCAGGTATACATATGTTAGATATATACTTCATTATATTTCCTTTTTTATTTTGTAGTATTTAATTTACAAAATTCAAACTGAACTTTTTATACACAAATGTGATGTTTGAATTGTAGAGTATGGCATGGGGAGTGAGGTGTCAACGAACGGTGATGTCTACAGCTTTGGCATTCTCTTGTTGGAGATGTTTACAGGGAAGAGACCCACTGACAACATGTTTGGTGATAGCTTGAACCTTCATAACTTTGTCAAGATGGCTCTCCCCGAGCGAGTTATTGAGATTGCAGATGCACCACTTCTTGAAGGAGGCACGAACGACAATCCCAATCAATGCAGTGCAAGAATTCATAAAGTTGAGGTGTGCTTGAGTTCAATATTTAGAATTGGAATTGATTGTTCTGCTGAATCCCCAACAGATCGACTAAAGAATATCAATGATGCTGCATCTGAACTTCATTCAATTAGGAATACTTTTCTTGGGTAGAAACTCTTTTTTATGTGCTTTTGTAATAAGAGAAATTTCGTTTACTGCCTATGAAGTCTAGCTTTTACGTTACCGCAGTAGATGTGGAAGTTTGCAATGTAAATAATCACCAATGAGGTTTGTTGTGTGAAGATTGTATTCCTACTTTTTGTACTTGGTATTTTTGTGTAATATTCTCATCAATTAAAGTCTAGTTCGTGCCACAAAATTGTTGAATATTCACATTGACAGATTCCAAATTTTTGAAAGATTCATAACCTGAAGAGCCTCAACATTCACAAAATTATCTTGAAAGCTGTAAAGATGGTGAGTTGAGTTTCCTATCAGACTTGACCACCATCAATGTAATGTGTTTTCGAAAATGAAAGTGCTATTTCAATTGTTGACAACACTAGATTATGCACGGCAATTCCTAATCTCAAGTTGCCCAATTGCAAGTCTAAAGAGCTCCAAGAAAAGAAGATTAGCTTATTGCTTGAAATTAATAATCCCTTTCTCAAAGGCCACTGATCGGTTTTCTTCAGCTAATTTGACAATAAAGCTCGGCTTGTACTTGTAGCTATGAAGGTGTTTAACATGTTACGTCATGGAGCATCAAAGAGTTTCATAGCCGAATATGAGGCTTTGAGAAATATCAAGCATCAAAATTCGTCAAGGTCATATCTGCATGTTTTCTCGATGATGATTTCAAGGCTCTAGTTTATGAGTTGATGCACCAAAGGAGTTTAGAGGAGTGGTTGCATGATTTGCATCCACCTCCTGTAATTGAAGAGGTAAGAGATCAATACAACCAAGAATTAATATCTTCTTCAAAGGCTACATATTGTTATTGGTGTTGCTATTGTGCATTGGATTATTTTCATAACCATAGCGAATGGTCATTTTTTGTAGAATTTTAACCCCATTTTAAAGCCCATGGGCTATGAAAAATCAAGGTTGTCTAGCATTGTTGCTATAATTATTCGCCCATGTGCATTCTGAATTCAAATCCAATAGTTTTAGTAGTCGTTCTATCAATCTTGACAATAAAAGAGTATTTATTTTATTTTTTCAAACAAATAGTATTATTTCCACTAAGGGGAAGGGGATAGGCTTAGCCTCACAATGATGTAGTTCAAATTCGTATTTGGCAATAATCGAACATAAAATTTATCAGTTACAAGTTAAGAAAATACCATTAGACCGTAGTACTAAGTGGCATAAAAGAGTTTCTATTAAACCAGTAAAATGAAAATTCTCAACCATTCATTAATGGATTTGAATTTAGATTTATTACAATTGATAGATACTTTTTTTGGGCAATCAATAGGATACTAACAAATTTGTTTTTAGAACAAAGATATGTCACGATAATGTGACTTAAAGCTGTGTCATTGGCCTTTTCACTTATTGCCCTATCTTTAACGCACTCCAATTAATATCGTCCACTAATATTAGTATTTAATGAATCTCATCATAAATTGTTACCCAAAATATTAATTATCAAAGCAAATAAACTTGATTGAGTTTTAAATTTTTCGTGACTAACTCCCAAATAATTCTCGTTACCAAGCAAATTAAATACCTTTAATTAAAAGCTTAAAAACTTTTTAATTATTACCTCTCTATTTTGCTTTTGCAATCACGAGCGTACAATATTATAGGAATATTTTTGTTCTTCACACTCAAATGATGGTAATGCTCACTACCTTATTTATCACCATTATATGAGTTTAATATCTTGGATAGACAATTATCAAAATTTAAACTCATCCAACGGTAATAAATAAGGTGGTAAGCATTACCACCACTTGAGGATGTTGAATAAAAATCGCCCCAATAATATTAGTTAAGTTAGTTGGTGTGGTAATTGGTCTTTAGCAAGCTTCTTATAGAAAAAAGAAGAATCTGAGTACTTTGGCTGTTTTGCAGAAGAAAAAGAAAGAAAGGGGCATTTGATGTTTGGACAGATATTATGGCTGTTTGGATGAAATTATTTATTATGGCTGTCTATGACAATGAGAAATTTGATTCTTCTAGTTGTAGCTAGTCCCGTTTTCTATGTTTATTTGCTTTCTTATATGATGGAATGGCGTTTTACCATGAGATTGAATGGTTTTTTATTTGGTTCTTTGTTTAGTTTGAACTAGAAAAATTGCCCACGCGCTGCTGTGGGTTTTGAAACCATAATGCAGAACATACTACGAATATTTTCGACAGAAAAAGACACAAATTATTTAGATTCAGTTCACTTCACATCAACATAGTGTGCATAATGAAGAGAGCGTATATTTGAAAGTTTGAATTAATGAAACATAAAAAAAGGTCGTACCCAGTGCACAAGGCTCCCGCTTTACGCAGGGTTTGAGAGAGGTAAATGTCGGCTAGCCTTACCCCCATTTATAGAGAGGCTGCTCCCAAGTCTCGAACCCGAGACCTACCGCTCATGGGCGAAGGCACTTGCCATCGCACCAAGTGCAACCTCTTTGAATTAATGAAACATGCAACAACGAAATATAATGTTTTTTATCCCCCCCCCCCCCCCCAGTCCTATAAAAAGAAGCATAAATGGAAAGGATGGTTCCCAAACTTTGTTTCAATTTAAGTTTTATGGCTTTCCTACTCTGCCCTACATCACAGAACAAAAAGAAGGTTACCTAAGAATTCATGCATTCATCTTCTAAACATGCAACAGAAAAGCACTCATGCATAATAAAGGGTACATTGACATTAAATAGATCAACTTAAGTGCTAACAGCCAATCAACAAATTGAACATAATTGAAGTTTTAGTAGAATGAGTTAACAAAAAGGAAGCTTGGTTTCCGCATGAAAGAAAAGATCCGCTTGAAATGGTAGTCATTCAAGATGTTTTCTGGTATTTATGCGAATTCGGAAATGCTATAAATGTAAAAGTTACCTCAAAAGCCTTTTCTGCGTTGGTTTCTGTAATCACTCCTACTGCAGCATTTGCAGTCAGTATCATGAGAATAACATGTGTCTAAGACCAAGTTGTATCCCACGTGCTTAATCAACAACAAACATAGAAAACAGTTATCATATATCATAAAATTCCAAGTCTTAACTTGTAAAGTTTCAAGTGCTCAACAAATTTTGAACAATGTATGGTTCAAAACTTAAAAAAAAAAAAGACATGCATCAAAGACTTTAGGGAGAAAAAATATGCATTGGCTGAAATAGATAATTAGGATTTTAAATGTTAAAATTTTCTTTTTGGCTCACTAATTAGTGCAAAAGTGAGATTGTATGAACAATTTTACACCCGGAAACATGAACTATACATAATCACAACTAATCTAACAATGAGAAAGTATATAAGACAAAACACTAACAGAAGGCTAAAACACTCTTTTATTTGATCTAACAATAGGGTAATAGGATTAACTAAATCATTAGAGACTGCAACAATGAGAAAGTCTGAAGATTAAAGTTCTTGTTGAATACCTTGAAAAACATTTTCAGTAAATCCGTTCAGGAAAATATAGAAACTTAAGATTCTATGCAATTCCATCATCCGGGATAGCACATATTTACTTGGAATCCAACCTTAAGCCAACATTTTTCTATCTATAGCATCCATCATACCTAAGACATTTCTCAGTAGGGGCACATGAACAATCATAATTGAGATTTCATAAGTTTATTTTTTTGTTAACTATAGTGAAATTTATAAAACAATTTTAGCAAAACTCGAGTGTAGATAATGGACTTTTGTTCCAGTTTAAAAAATATTGACTTGTGTTCTAAGCAACATAATGCATTCACATTTCAATTGTCAAAAGGCATCACAGTAATCCCCAACAACAACAACAAAGCTTTTTCCTACTAAGTGGGGTCGGCTATATGAATCCTAGAACGCCATTGCGCTCGGTTTTGTGTCATGTCCTCCATTAGATCCAAGTACTCTAAGTCTTTTCTTAGGGTCTCTTCCAGAGTTTTCCTAGGTCTTCCTCTACCCCTTCGGCCCTGAACCTCTGTCCCGTAGTCACATCTTCGAACCGGAGCGTCAGTAGGCCTTCTTTGCACATGTCCAAACCACCATAACCGATTTTCTCTCATCTTTCCTTCAATTTCGACTACACCTACTTTACCTCGGATATCCTCATTCATAATCTTATCCTTTCTCGTGTGCCCACACATCCAACGAAGCATCCTCATCTCCGCTACACCCATTTTGTGTACGTGTTGATGCTTCACCGCCCAACATTTTGTGCCATACAGCATCGCCGGCCTTATTGTCGTCCTATAAAATTTTCCCTTGAGCTTCAGTGGCCTACGACGGTCACACAACACGCCGGATGCACTCTTCCACTTCATCCATCCAGCTTGTATTCTGTGGTTGAGATCTCCATCTAATTCTTCGTTCTTTTGCAAGATAGATCCTAGGTAGCGAAAACGGTCGCTCTTTGGTATTTCCTGATCTTCGATCCTCACCCCTAACTCATTTTGGCCTCCATTTGCCCTGAACTTGCACTCCATATATTCTGTCTTTGATCGGCTTAGGCGAAGACCTTTAGATTCCAACACTTCTTTCCAAAGGTTAAGCTTCGCATTTACCCCTTCCTGAGTTTCATCTATCAACATTATATTGTTTGCGAAAAGCATACACCAAGGAATATCATCTTGAATATGTCCTGTTAACTCATCCATTACCAACGCAAAAAGGTAAAGACTTAAGGATTGTTAATGCACAAAATCAATGAGGACTTTGATACAACAGAAAGTATTAAGCTTGTGATCTTCGCTAGATTGCTCCGGTCATTAGTGTGGATAAATATGTAAATGGATAGAAACAGGAAAGCAAACACAAGATGTACGTGGTTCACCCAGATTGGCTACGTCCACGGAGTAGAGGAGTTCTCATTATTTTTGAAGGGTTTACACAAGTACATAGGTTCAAGCTCTCCTTTAGTGAGTACAAGTGAATGATTTAGTACAAATGACATTAGGAAATATTGTGGGAGAATAATCTCGTAATCACGAAACTTCTAAGTACTGAAGTGTGGTATCGTCTTCACTTGCCTTATCTGTCTCATAGGTAGATGTGGCATCTTCTCTGGAAGTACTCTTCCTCCATCCAGTGGTGATATCTTTAACTGGTGGAGATGCACAAGGTAATGTATCAATTTCACTTGAAGCTTACTTGTAGTTTCGGGCTTGGTCAAGTGTGATACAAACCATATAGTAGGAGTCCCCCAAGTCGCCGAGCTAGGAGGATCTGCCGAAAGAGGTGACAGACAAGGTAAGCAATCAGACTTCCAAGCAAGCAGTCCCAGGATCAGAAGTTTGATTTCGGCTTCCGGTTGATTGTTCTCATTCTCCTTATCTTGCATTCAAGCATGCCAGGATAAAGAGAAGAAAAATGGAGAAGAGATGATATGAGATACTTTTGCTTTTGAAGAAGTAACTTTCCACAGGCTTATTCTTGAACTGGGCTGGAGGGTTTTCTGGTTTCCTTCAGAGTATAAGGCCGACTGAAAAATTTGAGGGTCAAAACAAGTCCATCAAATCTAGAGTACGTTCGACCCTGATGATATGGGATACTTTTGCTGTTGACAAAGTATGTGGTATGTATCGGCACGTGTTTCTGTTACGCTTGTCTCCACATGCTTCCTTGTATCCTTCTCACTTGCCCTATCTGTTCCTCAGGCAGATGTAAAGGCCAATATCTTCTCTGGAAGCATGAAGATGTTGAAGATGAGTACTCGAGAGCAATGCTAAGGTAAGCAATCAGGTAAGGGGTTCCAGGCAGTCAGTTCCTGATTGGAAGTTTGATTTCAGGTTCCTGACTGATTGCTCTCTTTTTCTCCTTGTCCTTGCAGGTAAGTGGAACAAGGACAAAGGAAAAGACAGGGAAAAGCATGATATGGGATACTCTTGCTTTTAACCCTGATGATATGAGATATTCTTGTTCTTGGTGTGGCTTGTTTGCTGAGGTATTATCGGGGGGAAATAAAGCTGAGTATTTCGAGAGGTTACTTCGTTGAGGAGTGCCTTTCTCAGATATGAGGAAAGGGTTGAGCATTTTTGCAGGTTTGCCTGTCCGTTGAGGAGGGAGGTCGACATGTATATAGGAGTCTCCCTAATAACAAGTAGTAATGCTATTCCTTTACCCTTCTTGGTCACAGCAATGTAGTGGGAGCTGCCAGCTTCACGTGTTTTTAATTTTGTCAGAGCACTTTGAAAAAGTGGTATGTGGTATCTGGAAAGCTGATGTTACGTGTGAAGATTACAGACAAGCTTTATCTAAGGAAATCTGGCTCTCGAAGTTCTGAGAAAGTTGTGCCTCTTCGGTTTTCGAACAAGCAATCCCTGTCGGGGATCTGACTCTCGAGATTCAGAGAATAGTGCCTCTTCGATTTTTTAGAAAGCAATCCTGCTGGGAGTCTGGCTCTTGAGATTCGGAGAGCGGTGTCTCGTCGATTTTTGAGAAAGTAATCATGTTGGGAGTCTGGCTCTTAAAATTCGGAAGGCGGTGCCTCTTCGACTTTGAAGCAAGCAATCTTGTTGGGAGTGTTTTCTCGAATGTGAGTAAAGGTTGGGCATGTTTGCTAGTCTACCTTGCCACAAGAGCACGGAGGTTGACACACATAGGGACTTTCCAATTGTCAAGCAGTGGTGCTGTTCCTTTACCCTTGTGGGTAATAATATGGTAGCTAGACCTTCAAAATTTATGCGTCTAAACTTTGTTAGTGTTGTTTCTTTGCTATTCTTTTACCCTTCTTGGTCATAGCGATGTAGTGGGAGCTGCAAGCTTCACGTGTCTAAACTTTGTCAGAGATCTTTGACAAAGTTATATGTGGTACCCGAGGAGTTGATGGTGCATATGGAAAGTGGTGATTGAACAGTAAGATTCACGTGCTTTCTACTTCACCAGAAATCTTCGACAGATTGCCCGTAATTTCCGCAAAGCTGAGTGTGCATGTGACAGGTGCTGACGAGGCTGAAAAAGCAGGTGCTTCTTCGATTTCTGAGATCGGCCCTCGTGGTCTCTGAGCAGCCCAGCTTTTGAGAAAGCAAGCGCCTCTTCGATTTCTGAGATCGGCCTTCGTGGTCTTTGAGCAGCCCAGCTTTTGAGAAAGCAAACGCCTCTTCGATTTCTGAGATCGGCCCTCGTGGTCTCTGAGCAGCCCAGCTTTTGAGAAAGCAAACGCCTCTTTCGATTTCTGAAGCTCCGTCGAGTGCAGATTTTTTATAGAGGCTGGCATTAAGTTCCAAAGCACACTTGAATCTCTACCAGTAGAAGCTCCATTTCTTGCACTTCTAAGATCTTGATTTGTCTGACCTCTTCTCTTCTTCAACACATTTGAAAATGTCTGGACCCTCCGACCGTCGTTTTGACTTGAACCTTGGAGAAGAGGACAGCCACGCCTTCTCCAGACAACATATGGCGCCCATCCTTCATATCCCCTACTGGTCCTCTTACCGTTGGGGATTCTGTGATGAAGAATGATATGACCGCTGCAGTGGTGGCCAGGAACCTTCTCACTCCCAAAGATAACAGACTACTTTCCAAACGGTCTGATGAGTTGGCTGTTAAGGACTCTCTGGCTCTTAGTGTTCAGTGTGCAGGTTCTGTGTCTAATATGGCCCAACGCCTATTTGCTAGAACCCGCCAAGTTGAATCATTGGCTGCTGAAGTGATGAGTCTCAAACAGGAGATTAGAGGGCTCAAGCATGAGAATAAGCAGTTGCACCGGCTCGCCCATGACTATGCTACAAACATGAAGAGGAAGCTTGACCAGATGAAGGAATCTGATGGTAAGGTTTTACTTGATCATCAGCGGTTTGTGGGTTTGTTCCAAAGGCATTTATTGCCTTCGTCCTCTGGGGCTGTACCTGGTAATGAAGCTTCAAATGATGAACCTCCAATGCCTCCTCCTTCTGGGGTTTTGTCAAGTACTGAGGCTCCGGATAACCACCCTCCGGTGCTTTCTCTTTCTGGGGCTCTACCGACTGCTGAGACTTCCCCTAAGCAACCTTTGTGAAGGCTCCCTTTTGTTTGTTTATTTTGACTCATGTATATGTACATATTTGTGGCTTATCGAAAATATTAATAAATAAGCTTTGCTTCATTTCAACGTATTGTGTTAAATACACCAAAGCCTTCTTCACTAAGTTCTTTGAATTTTTCTTTTGTTGAAGCTTGTATGTTGAAGCTTTCATTCAGTTTATTTCACTTGTCCATTGGAATTTTATTCAAAGAATTATCAAATAAAGACAATAGCATGCCAAAGATTAAAAACCCTCATTTCAAACTTTGCTAATGCATAACTCTGTTTGGTTTTCTTCTCCGAATACCAGACTGAGAGAGGAGTCAAGTTCTCTAGTGCACCATCAATCTCCTGTTTGAGAAACCATCACCACAGCCACTCCCTTGAGGCACCACCGTCGCCATTTTTCACGGAGAACAACGCCACCACGAAACCACCACCATTAATCTCGCCACCTACGCAACTTTTACCATCCCCGAACCCACCCTCTGCAAATTGCCCTCATCCCTTCTAATTTCATTTCTTGCATTTCTTGTATGGTATCCATTTCTTGCACACTCAAATATTTATATACCAACTGAGAATAACAATATAAATCCCACACCCACCCCTTTTCCCCACTTGAAAAATTCACCAAAAGACCGCATTAACCACCATAGTTTAAGAATCCAGACCCCAAATTTCAATCTAATTAATTAAATTACAGATGATTCTATCTACCTCATGAAAACAAATATGTTCAGTTAAAGAAATTCCATAATCACTGCATCTTAAACCACTTCTTAAATATGTCCGCCATACCAATCTAATAAAAAATCCATGTTCAATCGATTCTTATTAATTCCAACACCAAGTATTTCAGCATCTAGATTATAGAAAAATCACAATAAAACAAACTCAGAACACCCAGATTCCAATCTTGGTGCTAAAGCACACTTTGTTAACCTCACCTTCATCAAGTCCATGTTTCCTGCCATGAGATCTTTCTCTTTATCCAGACTTGCCTTTAGCTGCAAGATCAAAATAATGAAGCATTCAATTCCATTTCTATACTCATAAAATTAAAAATTGAAATATGTCATAATTTACTCGGAATCTTCATATGTATTATGAAAGCATATGAACAGATACATTTGAAAACTTATAACGCTACCTAATAAAGTTGAAAAGTAACTAATTAAGATCAAGTTCCAGTGCATCCAGTGAGCCTTCCAGGGAAAGATGGCCCCATGGACTTAGACCTTGAAAACTGAGGCTTGTTTTGCCTTGTAATTGTATGATCAGTAGCATCCTTATGGATTGCAATTGTATGATCAGTAGTATCCTTATGGATTCCCAAATTAATCCTCAAAATTTTGTTCTCATCCGATAGCTTATGCACCTGGGACAAAAGTCGCTCAATTGTTTCACTATTCTCCTTGTTTCTCTTTATCAACTCAGCCCGGTGCTGCATATTTTCGTCAATGAGTTCTGAGATCTTTTCGTGCAACATTTTCTCTTTTTCAACCACATTACCATCACATTCTACACCATTATCAATATTCTTCTCTTCCATATATTCTTCGAATGTACACAAAACCTTTTTTTAGGACATACCAGCATTTGTTTGTTTTGATGGCTCTGATTTTGGTTTCCGTTTTCTCTTTTGTGGTGGTCTAATCAAGATGCACTCCAAAACACTAATTTGAGTGCCTACACAGATGAACATCGCATAAAAATCATAAAAAAAAATCCAAAACAGCAGCAGAGATAAAAAAATGATAATAACTCTAAAAAAAATTTAAATCAAAAGCTAAGACTAACTCACAGAATTTTTGGGCAAAAAAATTTCTTTAAATACTAATTTAATGCAATCCAGGAGCTAAATGCTTAAATCAGAAAAAATCCTTTAACCCAGATACTCCTATGGTCACAAATACTGATATTTGTGCAGTGCAGCAAAGTTTTTCTTGAAACTTGACGTATGTCACTAAAATTATCCCAAATATATCTCAGAGATTGCAGAAATTCAGACTATCAATAATGAGACAGCCGGAATGTTTTACCCTAATCTTATTAGGATTTTTAACTAAACAACTTGCTCATGTAACAGCTATATTACAGCATAAATATTCATGAACACTCATCACCAATAGCAAAAAGGAGCAAAGTACTATTACAGAAATCTAAAGATACCCATCAACAATATAACAAAAAAAATTGCGGTGAGATTTTAAAATACCAACTTTATTCGATATTACAATGAAATATAACAAAAAGAAAAATAAAAACAAAATGTACAAAAATCATTATTTTCATAAATAGACAGTGGAATAACAGAAGAAGCCAAACCCAGAAAAATTAAAAACATAGAATCACAGTAGAAGAAGCACACCATTTCAGATCTTTTTATCCTCTTTGAAGATCGATCGATTCCAGAGAGAGAGAGAGGAGGAGGGAGAAGACAAATGGGAGAGGAGGTAGACGGAGGCGAGAGGAGGAAAACGACGGAGGTAGTTTATCGGAAGCATGTCTTGTCTTGCGTTGCTAGTCAACAAGTCAGTGGAATCCTCACAAAATCCCTCACTCAATCGGGTCAGTGACAACTCCCTCAATTTTCTCCCTCTCAATCTCTCAATCATCGACAACTACCCATTAATTAAGGCTTCTAGTGGCAATTTTGACCAATCCCTTAATCCCGACACCAACCCTTGATTTGAGGAGGAAAAATCAACCCTAACCCCCTTTATGGCAACCTTACTAAGTCACGCCTCCCTCTCACTTCCCCTCCCTGCCATCCCCCAACTATCTCCCTCTCTGTCTCTGCACCCCATGCTTTTTGGCAATGGCACGAATGTAAATAATACAAAATCAAAGGATCATTTCAAAACAACATAAATAGACTGGCAAAACCGTAAATATTTCGAAATCTGTTCAGATACAAAATTACCTTCCTAACTTTTAATATTTACCCACCAACCCAGTCTCAAATTTGATGGCAATGGTGTAAATAAAGCAAAATCGAGTGACATGTAGAATAGGTAATATCTATGTGTAGAAAACCTGTAACGGGAAAATTGAATTGTAGGAGCCGTAGCTCATATTCATTCATTGATAGTGTATAAATATATTTGATTACAAAGAGTCCTACAGGGCTCCAGTTCTGCTGTCCCCTTTTGTGTGTCTCCTTTATGTTTCAACTTTCATTGCTAATATTTTGACACATGTCTTCTAGCTTAACTTAGTTTCTAACTTTGTTAACTTTTTATTTAACATTTAAAAGTAAAAAGAAAAATCCAAAATAATCTGACTGTTGGGTTCTCGAGGTCTGCAAATCCAAAATAGAATTCTTTCTGTGGCTGTCGGGTTACCAACGTGAGCAAACCTCTTCCCAATTTTTCTCCATCGTTGTACTGCTTCTTCACTTCTTTCCAGGCCAGCTCTGGTTGAGCTTGGATTATGTCCAGTTGAAAGTTGAAAACAAGCTTACCATGAGACCCCATATCCTGCCAACTTTCTCTACCAAATATGCCAAAAGCTGTTGGCTGAAGTCAATGAGAAGATCATGGAATATGGATTTGCTGAGAGGTGGTAGAGTGAGAGATTTTTCAGGTGTGAAATCCCATTGTATTCTAGGAGTCAAGGATTCTCTGGGAATTCTGGATCGAAGAAGACTTATAAATTGTTTAGTGAAGACGGAAACGATTCGAAACAGTGGGACAAGCATACTGGGTGAATAGTTGAGTAAGCGAACGGAGGGCTTTATTCATTATCAATTGTGTGTATGTTGCTGTTGTTACTGTCGTGCAGAAAATCTCAGTTTGAGGTGACTGAGATTACAACAAATATGAAATCATCCCTCACAGTTGTAGTGCTCTGTATGTCCTTTAAATGCAAGAACTGATTTGTGACTCGAAGAAAGCTCTTGCAGGGTTCGTTTGCTTGGTGTCAAACGAATTTCACTCTAAAAACAAAATAAAATTCTTTTTTCTCAATCAAACTATTTTATGAGTCATCAGAAAATCACAAGAATTGATAGTCGCTACTACTTTCCAAACATCAAACTATTGAACTAAACATGGTAAATACCAATATTAAACTAAACATGGTAAATACCAATAATATATGATAATATTTGGGAATTTCTTATATTTCATTAATCTCCAAAGTGGAGTATATATAGGAGTTACAATTGGTATTACATATGTACTTCACAAATGTGGGACAATAAACTACTATTTACATTTTAACTAATGTATAACTCGCAACACTCCCCCTCAAGTTGGTGCAAAGATGTCATGCATGCCCAACTTGTCAAGCGAGTCGGAAAATGCACTATTAGACACAGCCTTAGTAAGAGCATCAGCCAGTTGATCTTCAGATCTCACAAACGGAAACATAATAATTCCTGCATCCAATTTTTCCTTAATGAAATGTCGATCAATCTCCACATGTTTTGTTCGATCATGTTGCACTGGATTATGAGCAATCTCAATAGCAGCCTTGTTATCACAATGGAGTTTCATAGCACTTTTGTGTTTAAACCCAAGATCTCTCAACAATTTTTTCAACCACAACAACTCACTTACACTATGAGACATACCACGAAACTCAGCTTCTGCACTTGACCTAGCCACCACTTTTTGTTTCTTGCTTCTCCAAGTAACTAAATTACCACCCACAAACATAAAGTATCCAGATGTAGATCGTCGATCAGTGATAGAACCAGCCCAATCTGCATCTGTATACCCTTCGACATTCAAATGATCATTCTTGGAGAAAACCAGGCCTCTGCCATGAGCCATCTTCAAGTACCTCAAAATACGAGTTACTGCATCCATATGAGCTTCACTAGGTGAGTGCATAAACTGACTTACCACACTAACTGCATAAGCAATGTCAGGGCGAGTGTGAGACAAATAAATTAATCTCCCCACAAGCCTCTGATACCATTCCTTATGAGTTGAAACTTGATCTGGAAATAAGCCCAGACGATGATTCTGCTCAATCGGAGTATCAACAGGTTTGCAATCTAACATACCTGTTTCAGCTAACAAATCAAGAACATACTTCCTTTGAGATAGAAAAAATACCATGCTTGGATCGTGCAACCTCGATTCCAAGAAAATACTTCAATTCACCCAATTCTTTCATCTCAAACTCAGTAGCTAGGTACTTTTGAAGGTGTTGTATCTCCTTTTGATCATCACCAGTCACTATCATGTCATCAACATAAATAATCAATGCAGTTAGCTTACCATTTTGTCGCTTTAGAAACAAAGTATGATCTGAATGACTCTGGATATACCCAAACTTCTTCATTGAACTTGTAAACCTCCCAAACCATGCTCTAGGAGATTGTTTCAAACCATACAAGGCCTTTCGTAACCTGCATACAATACCTTTTCCAGGAGATGTTCCAATACCAGGTGGGAGATCCATATACACTTCCTCCTTAAGATCACCATGAAGGAAAGCATTCTTAACATCAAACTGCAACAGAGGCCAATCCTGGTTTGCTGCCAAGGACAGAAGAACACGCACAGTATTAAGTTTGGCAACAGGAGCAAAGGTCTCCTGATAGTCCACCCCATAGGTTTGAGTATAACCCTTAGCAACTAATCTGGCTTTATACCGATCAATAGAACCATCTGCTTTGTGCTTAATAGTAAACACTCATCTACATCCAACGGCTTTCTTCCCGTTTGGTAACGGAACAAAATCCCAAGTAGAATTCTTTTCCAAAGCTTCCATCTCAACTTTCATAGCATTAACCCACTTAGGGTCAGACAAAGCATCTTGCAATTTTGTTGGAATTGATACACTAGATAGCTGACATATGTAAGATGCATATGGTTGGGACAAACGATGAGAAGACACATAATTGTTGATAGGATATTTGGCTTTGGCATGCATATCAGGCTCATATTGTACTTTAGGTTTTCCACGATTAGCTCGTGGAGGCAACTGATAAGTAGAAGAATCGTCAGAATTTACCTCATGTATGCCACCATCTTGTACCAAACAGTTAGAAGAATCATCACTGGACGAACCATCATCAGGCAACTCGTTAGACATATCAGCAGCAGGCAACCGATCATCAGAAGGTAATTCATCAGATATATCCGCAGCAGGCAACCGATCATCATCTGTAGCCGACTGATTAGTATCACGCAAAATAATATGTTCTGTTCCCAACTCTGTCTGTAACACATCATCCATATCATCTCTTCGAATCTGCACTTCACTCCCCCTCTCCCCTTGAAGTGGAGAGTCGGAAGAGGGCTTCACAAAATACGAAACTTCCTCATGGAAGGTGACATCCATGGTAATATAAGTTTTTTGAGTCGGAGGATGATAACACTTATAGCCTTTTTGATTGTTAGCATACCCAATAAAGACACACCAGAGAGCACATGCATCAAGTTTACTCCGCTGATGAGAGTAGACATGCACATACGCAATACACCCAAACACTTTCGGAGGAAGCTTTGAGACAGAAACAAGAGAAACATGTTTTTGTAGCACATCAAACGGTGTCTGAAAATCAAGAACCCGACTTGGAACACGATTGATCAAATACACAGCAGCCAAAACAGCATGACCCCACAAATGATTAGGAACACATTTATCTAACATCAATGAGCGAGCAACCTCCATTATTTGACGATTCTTCCGTTCGGACACACCATTTTGTTGAGGTGTAAACGGAGTAGTCGTCTGGTGAATAATACCATGATCACGGAAAAAACATGCCAAAGTGTGATTCACATATTCTCCTCCGTTATCAGACCTGAAGACCTTAACTTTGGTCTGAAACTGAGTAGATACCATTGTACAAAATTCTTGAAGAAGTAATGGAACATCACTCTTATTTTTCATCAAGAACACCCAAGTTACCCGAGTACAATCATCAATAAAAGTAACAAACCAACGGAATCCATTAGAAGTAACTTTTGCAGGACCCCACACATTAGAATGTATCAAATCAAATGGTAAAGTAGCTTTAGAATCACTTACAGGAAAGGAAGCACGATGACTCTTAGCCATGACACATGTTTCACACTTGAACTCTGAATCACTACAAGTGCGAAACAAAGAAGGAAATAGATGCTTCATATAACTGAATGATGGATGTCCCAATCGTCGATGCCATAACCAAATTTGATGTCTGTTATCCACTTTAGCACTTAAAACTTGATGATGATTTGAACCGGAAACAACAGTATCCTCCATAGTCAAGATGTACAAACCCCTTATCCTTTTACCATAACCAATTATCTTCTGAGTTTGAATATCTCGAAAATAACAATACGTAGGATAGAAGTGAGTAGAACAATATAAAGTATCAAGAAGTTTTCCTACCGACAAAAGATTGCACTTAACATCAGGAACAAGTAAAGCACGGACCAGTGATAAGGTTGGAGTCAAAGAGATAGTGCCTTCACCCTTCACAGGGGAAAGTGCTCCATTTGCACTAGTAATATACGGATCACGAACATAATCACATAACTCATCAAACACTCTAGGGTCACTTGTCACATGATCAGTGGCCCCAGTATCAATTATCCATTTATTTGTTCCACCAAGATGCATAACAACACTATGATTATATTGAGCCATTGAACAAAATCACGAACAATAAAGGCA